GGAGCTTTCTAGCACGCTCCCTGCGCAGCTGCTCCTCCTCGTGTCTCAGCTGCTCCTCCTCCCTTTCCTGGCGGAGCTCTCCTTGGCGGAATTTTCTGTCGCGCTCCTGGCGGCGCAGCTGCTCCTCCTCCCGCTCCTGCCTCAGCTGCTCCTCCTCCGCACGGAACTTGCGGTCTCTCTCTTGCCTGGTCGTCTCTCTCTCTTCCCTCAGTAGCTGCTCCTCCTCTTGGGACTTCGCATCTTGCCTTTTCGCCGCTCTTCGCTCCTCTCGCTCCAGCGGCTCTTCGGCAGGGAATTCCCGGTCGCGCTGCAGCCGGCGCCTTCTCTCTCGTTCTAGCTCTCTCTTCTCCTCCTCTTCCTCTTGCAGGAAAGGCCTGTCCAACGCCTGAGAATCGTCCAGCCGTCGGGTCTTCTCTTCGTTCTCTCTGCGTTTGGAGAAAACCCTGTTACTACGCACTTCCCTTTCTCTTTCTGGTTGCCATTGCCATTTCAGATCGCGGCGCTGATCTGCCCCCCGGAACCGCTGCTGCTCGTCCTCCTCCTCTTCCTCCTGATATTGCCTCTCCCTCTGCAGCTGCCCCTCTTCCTGCTGCAGCTGCTCTTCCTCCCGATATTGCCTCGCCCGCTGCTGGCGCCTCCTTTCCCTCTGCAGCTGCTCTTCCTCCCGCTGCTCCTCCTTCCTGAGCTGCTCCCGCGGGCCGTGTTTGGCGGTCAGCGTGGGCTGGCGCCTCTGACTTTCTTCCTCTAGTTGCAGCCTCAAGTCTTGGTCGCGGCGTTGCTCCTCCTCCTCCAGCTCCCTCCGCTGCAGCTCTCGCTCCCGGGGCCGCCTCTCCTCCTCCTGCTCCCTGCGGCGTTTCTGCTCCTCCTGTCGGCGAGGCCTGGAGTAGACTTTGCTCTGACGTGCTTCAGCCTCGCTGTCCAGCTGCCACTGCAACCTCTCCCGGGCCTGTGCCTCCGCCTCCTCCTCAGACACCAGCTCCTGCTCGCGCCTCTGCTGCAGCTGTCTCTCTTGCGCGCGCTCGCGTCGCACTTCTGGCTCTCTCCTTTGCAGTTGCTCTTCCGGACGTTCGCGCTGCGCCCGCCTCTCTCGACTTGGTTCTTCTTCTCGGTACTCCTCGGCGTCTCGACTCTGGCGTCTCAGCAGCTGCTCTTCCTCTGCGCGGCGCTCTTCGATTTCTTGCCTTTGCCAGTCGCGCTGCCCTCGCCTCTCTGGCTTCTTCCTTTGCTCCTCTTGCTCCCCGCGCTCCCGCTCCTGTACCTGCCTCCTCTGCCGGCGTTGGTGTGCAGGTTCCTCGTCCAGCTGTCTGTCCGGGGACTCGAATCTCCTTTGGTCTTCTTGCCTACGATCTTGTATCAGGTTCCCCTTCCTTTCACCCTGGACTCTCCTCTCCTCCTCCTCTAGCCCTGCGGCCTGGCCAAGAGCATAATAACAAGCCTGAGCCACCTTGAAAACCAGCAGGAGGAATTCATTGAAATCGACGTGCCCGTTACAGTCGCGATCCAGAAGTTCCAGGATCACATCTACCGTCTCAGGGTCATGTGGTCTCTACGGAAAAATCAAACAAACGAATCTTTTAGCATGTATTGTTTACAGGCAGTAAAAATCTTATTTACACTTACACTATGCTAACCATCAAGAGATATTCAGAGCAATTAGAAAGAATGTGCAGTGTGTGTCAAGTCATTTCCCCACGTAAAAGGTGAACACATCATTTCAAAGCGTACATTTGTTGGCAATTGTCGTATCTTATAACCCAACTTCTCCTTAGCTGTTTGAATAAGAATGTACTTATCCTCAAGAGAGAGGGAGCATGGAAATTTATGAAGATTTCTAGCAGCCATTTCTGTCTGAAGCAGCCAGTACTTCTCATCTGATTTCTTTTTTTTCCTTTTTTTTTTTTTTTTTTTTTTTGTGGTGCTGGGCCTTGTGAATGCAAGGGACACCCTCTACCAACTGAGTTATGTTCCCAGCCCTTCTTATCTGGTTTCTGTTCCATGTTTGAAAGCAAACTTGGCGCTGTGGGCACAGTCCTGTAATCCCAAGTACTTGGTAGGCTGCGGCAAGAGGATCACAAGTTCAGGGCCAGTCTGGGCAACTTGGCAAAAGTCTGTCTCAAAATAAAGCTGAAAAGAGCTGGGGATGCAGCTAGATGTGAAGCATTTGCCTAGCTTGCACAAGGCCCTGGGTTCAATCTCCAGTATCAAGACAAACAAAAAACTTAAAATATTTATGGCAATACCATGTTAGTAGAAAATAGGCTGATTTTAGCTCTTGAAGCTTGAAGGCACATTTAAATCCTTCCAAATCTAGTTTGGTTTGCCATCTTTGGTGGCAGTGTCCCATGAACAGCTCATTCTTGCTGACAGTGCCATCAAGTAGATGAACTTGTTACCAACTTTTTAAATACTCAGGCTCAATGTCAACTAAATACCTTCAGACTTTGAAAAGAATGAGGGATGTAGTATAGACTTGGCCTGGTGTAAAGTGCATATAAGGTATCATTCCTTGCTCTGTCTCTCCTGAAGAAAATTCATAGTCCTAAATTAATGGAGCGGTTTCCTTTTCTTGTTAGTTCTTACCCGAAGGACATCTCCAAATTCTCTTTCAAGGAGATTCTTTAGGTCTTTCTTGCTTAGTGCTGCACCTTCACAACCGTGGGAGGCATACTGATTGAAAATTTCGGTGATATCGAAGACGCTTTTCAGAAGTGGAGACATTTTTTTTCCTTCCTTCAAGTTCAAGTAAACCTAGAATAATAAAATAGAATCCAGAATCAAAACTCTGTTTTCTGCTTTTGGGAGGCTTCATTCTCACTGTCTGAGGCAGAGCTCTAAATAATTTTACTTTAAGTACTAATTATTTCCAATCTGAGCTTTCAGAGCATTTTATCCTTGAATATGGTATTCAGAAGGGGGAAGAGAGATACTGAGAAATTTCAAGCCAGGAAATCAATTTCAGATAATCTATGACAGACTTCTCATTGTCTATCCATTCTGGATTATCCATATCCTTTCCTTCTCTCATTCAGCTCCCCAGCATATTTCAGAGCAGATAGTGAAGAGTGCAGGAATTTAAAACTGGTATATTGCTACTCATATATTGCTACTCATAAGGACTTATAAAGTTGATAGATGAAACCCAAAGATGAAGGAAGGCTTTAGTATATCTTCAAGTGGTTAGAGCTATGTACAGTTTATTTGCTGTTAAGTGTCAGCAAACACTTAGTAGCAAATGAAACAATGAAAAAAGAATTGGAATTATTCCCCAACATTATAGTCCAGAAGAGAACAAGAAGTATAATCCATAAGTCACCAGTTCTAAGATTAAACTGTACTTCAAAAGATGACATTGCAACATTCAGATACACTAATGTAGAAAACATAGGATGCATGTTATCTGCCTTAATTTAGATATATTAAGGATATTCACATATGCACTTATAGAAAGATTATGAGAGGTCCTTCCTGATTGGTAGAATCAATGGGCCAAATTGAGCCCTGAAAACTGGATGATATTGGTCTTATGGTAAACCCCTGTTAAACCCAAATAAGCCATTCAAATCTTGGCATTTTAAAAAACATTAGGGGCTGGGGTATGTATAATAGCTCACCGTGCATGCCTAGCATGCACAAGGCCCAAGGTTTGATTCCCCAGCTCTGCACAAAAAAAAAAAAAAAAAAAAAAATTAGCCCCAGCAGACCAATGTTAAAAGAACACATAGATGGTTTTGCTGGCTGTGTGTGCATAGTGGTTCATCTTGGCATTTTTTTACCAAGATGCCTTAACTCTATGAAGCACCTTAGATGCCATAACTATATGAAGATGGTCCATATGAGGTAAGACAGATATGAAAAGAGACTAGAGGTTTGGCACACTTTTGAGATGGTGATTTTTAGGAAGATAAGCCTCCTCAGAGCCACATATTATCATTCCCTGATGTGCCAAAGTATTGGGTTGAAAGCCTGGAGCCAAGGGCCAAGTATGGGTCCAACCAAACCAAGATGGGATGGAGTTCATGAGAACTAGCCACCACTGAAAGAGCCCCCTGGCACAGAGAACCTGCTCAGCACATAGAACTTGCCCTCGTTCCCCAACATCCACAATGGCTAGACGACTGAAGAAGGACACAGAAGAACACGATCCCACAGAATGGGACTTACCACTTTACCAGAGGAGGACGTTGAGTGCTCGCTGACACTGCTGGCAAGTGTACTGGGTAACTGGGAGCTGGGCCTTTTATAGGGGTTTGAATTGTGCCCTGGAGAGCAACTTGGGAAGGAGACACCCACTCTGTGGGCTGGCCTGATTCATCCCAAGCCTAGCTCCACCTTTCTCTCTGCCAATGGCTTGTTTATCTCGCTATTTGCTCATGTAGCTATTTGGCACGAGGTTCACAGACCTTGCCTCCTGACATGCTAGGGTACCGGCCCCACCTAACATGAAAGGTAGAATATTTGGCTGAATTTCTAGTTCTCTCTAATTGTTAAAACTAAATTAAACAATAAAACAAAGGTATTAAATGTTCCAAATCTTTATTGATTATGACTTCGTTACAAAGGAGCAAACTCTGAGCCATTTACTTTATAAAAGATTTAAGTTCTAGGTTAGAATTAAACAGAATCTTTGAAATAAATTGGTGAGAACCAATTAATTTCTCTGTGGCATCCTCATAAGCCCTGCCTGAAACAATTCTCGGACAATGGGAAAGAGATAAGGAATTGTTGTGTGTGTGTGTGTGTGTGTTTAACATTTAGTTTTTAGTTTTAGATGGACACAGTATCTTTTATTTTACGTTTATGTGGTGCTGAGGATGGAACCCAGTGCCACAAGCATTCTAGGTGAGCACTGTATCACTGAGCCACAACCCCAGCCCCAAGAGATAAGGAATTGTTAAACTGCTTCTCTAAAACATGCAAGTGGCAAGACATTTTACATTTGTCTTCTTAGGTTTTATGACAATGGTTTCCCTACAGATTGGGGGTTGCCTCTGCAGTGGACAATTTTGGAATGTACCTTAAAATGGGTTTTTGTTAAACTGTTATAAGCAAATATGAAAGTGTGAAATTTCATTCTTAGAGATATTTCTAAATGAAGTTTGTTCATTTTTATGCTTATTAGCATATTGATGTCCCCAGAGAAAAAGAGCTAATGTAATGCGTTATTGTAGATATAATCATCCTTCTCAGCCCAAGTTACTAATGATTATGACATCTAAACACTTGAGTTTGCTTCTCCTGGAAGCGCATTAAGCTAATCGGTCATTCTAGCCCATTATAGCCATCAGGGCTTTCTCAACCTTGGTGACCATCGGTGAATCTTAGTGCTGTTTTATTGTAAGGAACTAGGTTTTATCCCTGGTTGTCAACAACTCCCACCCTTACGTTTCAGACTACTTGAGACTTTGGTTCATAATAGCTTTATGGCGACTATTAAATGATTCAGTGGCTTCTCTGCATTTCTGTCTCATCCTTTGTTCAACAGAGGCAAGTATTGGTTTTCTGAATTTCGGAGAGACTTAGGGGTACTTCAGGTGGCAAGTGAAAAATACAGAACCTTAATGTCTATGTGTTCTTCTAACGTGACGCCTGGTCTGAATGATAGCGAAGTTGAATTTTATTTGCCCCCTTAGATGCTGCTCTCTCAGATGTGGGGTGAAGAGGAAGGTGGAAGTGATAGGAGACGGGAAAAACAACTGTAAACCTGGCTGCCTTCCGCCTCCTTAAGGGCTTCATTACTGAAGTCTGTGATCTAGAAGTTTTCTTTGAACTGTCAGAACTGTCACTATTTGATAGCTTAGTAAGTCAATTTGATGGGACAGTTCTTAGTGAGGCTTGAAGACACCTTTTGTTCTTCTATTTAGGGTTTTATACCGTTCCCTTAATCTTTGGTACATAATGAGCAGTGCAACCGAGACGTGGCAGAGCCCCTTTATCTTCCCGAGGGCCGGAGCCCTTGAAGAGATCACCTGCCCAAGGCTTGCCTTAATCCGCTTCTATTTTTGTCTGCTTCTGCGTGACCTTTGGGGGAACTTCAGCATAGGTCCCCACTGTCAGTGAAGCTAGATCTTAAATCCAATAATGGCTTTCTTAGAGATTCTTGTTTAAAGTCAGGACAGGATAAGAGAAACTATATTTTAAAACCTGCCAAAAACCTCAGAAAATTTACCTCTCTTCCTTTCTGAATCTTGGTCCATTAGTAAATAGGTTCAAATGATAAATCCTATCATCAGATTTGATACCCTTCTGATAAAGTGGCCTTCATTGCTATGTAATGTTATTTTATTTTACACTGGGTCATTATTTAAGAAGATCATTTTACTAGGAGTTCTTTACATGATGTTTGGACAGGGAAAAAAATAAATTATTTTCTAATTTCTTAAAAGGTTGTAAAATATCAGAGATTATAGGAAAATTCCAAGTCCTTACAAATTGTTTTGGTCTACTTTTTAAAAAAATATTTTTTCAGTTGTAGATGGACACAATATCTTTGTTTTATTTATTTATTTTTACGTGGTGCTGAGGATCGAACTCTGGGCCTCACAGGTGCTAAGCAGGTGCTCTACCACTGAGCCACAACCCCAGCCCTGGTCTACTTTTTTTAAAGGTCAACAGGAAATTCTTGAAATGTGCTGGTGTCCAGCCATTGTGGAGACATCAATAAATAATGGTATCTTTATAATTTGAAGATCTCTATATTTTTATAGACAAAAAGTTTTTCCTTTCTAAGACTTAGTATTAAGGTCAAAGGACATTATTAACTGGCCCAGGAAGGGATATTCTGCAAATGTCCTTCTTTATCAGCTGGTCTAGAATACCTTCAGAATTATACTAGTAACTGACTTTGAGACTTGGACTCTTTATACTAGAAGAATTAAAAAGAGAAAAAAATATTTGGATCACTCAAACGCTTTAACATCACAATAATCATGGCCCCCTCCATGCCAAGATCTTTGGATGTGAGGCTTCGATGGATTAACAAACAAAGAATTAAGGAAGCATTTGTTCTTCTGATTTTTATTTCATTCAAGAACTCATTTCCAACTTCCTCCTCTTAGAACCCAGAAAAGGAAGATAATAGATTTGACATTATGAGGCATTTTTTTAGGACCAGGTTCTGCCTGGGATTAGATGGCTCCAAAGTGAAAATGTAAATAAAGTGAAGAAGGTTGCAGGGTCATATTTGGGGCTGGGGATATAGCTCAGTTGGTAGAGGGCTTGCCTCGAAGGCACACGGCCCTGGGTTCAATCTCCAGTACCACACACATATGCAAAACAAAAACAAAAACAAAAAAACCCAACAACAACAACATATAGACCAGGATCATATTTAGCCTCATGAATTTCTTGAGAACCAAATATAAACCATGATATCCACAGTCTGGGAAAATGTCCAAAATAGGATATTAGATGACTTTGAAAGAAGTGACATTCTTTTATCAGTTCTTTAAACACCTCTTTGGTAGGGACTTTTTCTTTGACATGATGTGACATTTCTTTCAATTCTTCCCACTGTTTTCTCTTAGTTATTGGCCTACTTGGGATCTCATCTCAGCCAAAACCTAACACGGTTTACTTGAAGTCACTCAAATCCCATCTCCTCCCCCAAACCTTTCTTGACTTTTACCCACCATAATCTTCCCCTTAAAATTGTCCCCACAGCATGCACAGTCAGGGTCATAAACCTAGTGCTAGTTAATGTCAGATGATGTATAATTTTG